ATTACATGTTTCCACATAAACCTCTCAAAATCCTAAACTATGAATATAAAGAACTCATCCATACACTATTCTTATACTTTCTAATTGAACCCTTTTCCCAATTCATAATTCATCTATGGCTTCGGGAGAGTATCTAGAATGCGCTCCACGTACTCCTCGACAGTGTGGTCGATATTTGGATTGACGTCAAAGAAAGTGGAGTGAAGGATGTGAACGAAACCTTGCTCGACTTAGGCAATGCCGTAATCAAGATCGAGATCGGCCATGCATCGATCTAGTTGCGTTGAAGTGTTGTAGGAGGTGGTTCTTTGTTGTCGTCCTTGCCGTTTTCCCTTGAAAGAGAGAAGTTTCTCTCAAGAATCCAAGTAGGAGAAGGTAAGAGAAGGTGGCCGACCAAGGAGGGAGGGCTAGGGGAATTTTGGTTCAAATTTTGGGAGATTTAAGTGGAGGGAATTTTAATTTAAACACTTCCAAATTATTCCCTTTGATTGAGAATAATTAGAGAAAGGGAAAGAGAGAAGGGGGGCGGCGAGCATTATAGAGGGGGAAGGTATTAATTTAATTCCAATAGGAGAGGATCACTATTGGAAAGAAATTAAATAAATGGGGTTTGTGGAAATTTCAGCCAAAGGAGGTGGAGGAGAATTAGGATTGTTTCCAAGAGAAGAGGTGGGCTTTTAGGAAACAATTCCTAATTCAAACCATAAGGGGGGCCGACAGCTATAGAGGGATGGAGGAGTTTAATGAGGCATTCAATGCTTACTTAAATTATTAAATTAAGTTTGGAAAAAATATCTCATCCCCTCTTAATTTAAAATTTAAATAGAAATTGATTTAGTAAGTTTCCTAAAATAGGATTTATAAATTAGGTAACTATTTCAAATTCAAATTAATTTGAATTTGATCATTAATAGAGTTATCAAAATTATGAAATCTAATTTAGGAAAGAGTTGGTGGCAAGTGTAGATGGAGGAGGAGCCAATAGGTGGGCCTGCGGTGGAGGTGGCCGTGGGTGAGGGTGGGGTTGGGGTCTAGGCGGCGGGTGGTGGTGGGGAGTTAAGTGGCCGGCGGCGTAGGGACCCTAGAAGGCTTTGGGCCGGCGGCTAGGGGATGAAAGAAGGAGGACAAAGAGATAAAGAAGAAGAACCACGAACCCGATCGTCTACAAGGTTAGTGGGTGATTCAATTTCCCTCTCATAGGGATTTCTCTCTCAAGCACACTCTCAAGATCTCACAAAGAAATCAAGCAAGGAAAAAAAGTTTGTCATTCATTCATATATTAACCTGAAAAGAGAACAAGAGGGCTATATATAGCCTCTCGTACAAATGACTCTAGAAAATAAAAGACAATTATGCCCTCTGGGCTTACATATGACATCTCTTAAGTAAGGTGTAAAAGCGGAAACACTAATAAAATAAATACAACATCAAATAATAATAAAGAAAAATACATAATACGACTCAGAAGTACATCGACTTAATCGTGGCCATAGATCGACGACCACATCTCTGATAGACTTTCGAAGCTCTGATGTCCCCATCAGAAATATTTGCAAAATAACATAAATCAGCTTTTACTGATCATTCTTTTATTTATTTGAAGTCAATACAGAATATCAATATTAGTCTATAATGATTTGATTTAACTTTCAAAAAAAATCAATGGAGCTCAGGTAAACTTGGCATTATCGCCATTGAACAACATAGTGGTCTTTTTTGTCTCTTTAGGGGTCCCTTTTACCCCACCTGCTAAGCAGATATCATATCTTTAGAGTCCCTTTTGTCTCACTTATAATGCAGTGTCATATATGAAAACCCTTCTTCCCCACTTGCAATAGTAAGTTGTACATCATTTTATAACCAATATTTTCTATTTTTTTATATTCAGTATATTTCATAACATAGTAATTCATACTTGACTTGTCATGTATAAAGTTCCATATAAATCTGTCTCTTACTATGCTTATATACCAGGATGTGTTGACAACATATTTAATGAGCTCTTTTCAAATTATTATCAACTAGAAAAATATTAAAATAATCATCTTAAATCTTATTTTAAACTTCAATGATATATATATATTTATATATATATGTGTGTGTGTGTGTGTGTGTGTGTGTGTGCAAGTGGTGGTTCATACATGAAAACTTAGAAGCATACTCAATTTCATTATATTAAACAGACATGATTTATTTTATTTCCACTTGCAAGTCTTTATATGGATATGTAGTTGCTTATTAATGCATATGAAGATGTAGGTTTATGTTCCATAATTGAAATTATCTTATCACAATTATCCTTTTAAGTGAATCAACTGATATTTTATGCATCAAGAATATATAATATTTATTTTTTGTAATTTGTAATTGTATTACTTACTTCTTTGACCAACTGCCTCTTCCAATTCTACACCATATAACATTTTCCTTTGATAAACTATCTCTAAATCTACTTTATGCATATATCTGATAAATCCTAAAGTTACAATTGGTATAAACTTCTTTAAAAACTTTATTGAATTTAGAGAATATAAAAGGTAACTAAAAACATTATAATTTCTTACCTCCTTTCTTCTCCTAATACTTTCCTTCTTATTCTTCCTTCACTGTTTTCCTCAAAGCAATTGCTCACTCTCATCAATTGAATTCACCCACATTCACTCTTCTCTCAATTCCTTCCCTATGCCTCCCCTTATCCAGCAATTCACTGTGCTGATTTCTGCATAGTAGCTGAATACTGCTACAGGGATTCCTGCACTGTGTCGCCCTCTACCACTGTGTCGAACTAATCTACAATTCCGCAGGCACTGTGTCGAACTTCTATGCAGGAACTTCACTCTTCCTTGCGGAATTTCTGTGTCTTCTGTGAATTCCGAACAAGAGAGGCCCGTGCACGTATAACTACGTTGCATTCTTATCTTCAAAACTCTTTAAAAGCACCTATTCATAAAATAACTAATTATCTATTTAATTTAAATTACTTAATCATTTTATCTGTTAATATTAATTTAACAGTAATTTATTATTAAACTTAAAATAAGTTTTACAATAAATTTAATTAATTTAAATATACAAGTTTAAATGTGTTGTGCAATAATAGATATTTAAGTTGTACCGAGTACAATTATCAGCATTGAAAATACTAACACCGGTGTTTTAGTTTGTACTGGAAACAATAAAGAACTGTCAAGGCCACCTTCCAGTCTCTAATGAATAGGGTATTCCAACCCTACCTGCCAAGGTTTGTGCTGGTATTTTTTGACGATATACTAGGGGTGTCAAAAATTAACACGGCCCAAAAACCCAACTCGAACCCGACCCAAATTTTTTGGTTTAGGGTCAACTCAAATTCGAAACGGGTCAGGTTCGGGTCTTGATTTTTAACCCATTTCGAATTCTTGGTCAGGTTCGGGTTGACCCGAAAACCCGAGAATGAACCAATTTTGATCCAGAATCCTGTAGTTCGGCGTATTTACGGGATTTGGCCTCTAAGCACACGAAACGGAGAAAGTTACCTTCACAGTGAGTGAGGTAGCACAGTTTTCATGAGGGAGGTAGCAAGACTACATGAGATCCTAGAATCGATTGTATCAGTTTGAGACAAGATGTTTTTTAGCCAGTTCTAGAAGGAATTGTTCAAAATGTAGGGGACCGTTCTGAAAAGAGCATTGCTTATCATCCTCATATGGATGAACATACAGAGGTGGTCTATCATAGTGTGGAGACTTATCTGGGGTGCTTTATATCGAATGCTCCTAAGTTGTGGGCAAAATGGTTGGCTTAGACAGAGTATTAGTATAACACTTCCTATCATTCAGCAACTCAGACTACACCGTTCAAAGTGTAATACAGAAGAGATCTCCCTCACTTGATATATTATGGACAAGGTAGCACACCGATTGCTTCAGTAGAGTTGTATTTGGAGGACAAAGACAGGATCTTGGGGGAGCTGAAGAGGCATTTGTTGAGAACTCAACAAATTATGAAGAGGAAGGTCGATGCTCAAAGGAGAGACATTTAGTTTGAGGTGGGGGAAAGCGCCATCCCTACAAACATAAAACCTTGGCAAGGAGATGGAATGATAAGTTAGTGCTCCTGCATTTTAGTCCATACAAGAGGTGTTATTTGAACAATTGGAGGACAAAGGAATGTGATAGGGAGTAACAGGAAGCAAGGAAGTGTTGATCAGGTGGAAGGACATATCGGAGTATGAGGCCACGTGGGAGTCCTACTAGATTATTCAACAACAATTCCCTTCATTCCACCTTAAGGACAAGGTGGTACTTGGGTGGGGGGGCGGAGTATTGATACATCGGCAACCCTTGGGGGATAGACCAAGGAAGAGCTGGATAGGTCGGTCGAGCAAACCCCATACCAGAGAGGGCCGTAACAAAAGGGGGCTAAACCTAGATAGATTTCGGCCCTTTTTGTGGGACCCAGAAAACATTAATTCATTATGTGAGAAGAAGAATTAAGAATGTGATTAATTATGAAGGATTTCCTAATTGAAATTCAAATTAGAGAGGAAAATATATTAGCAAAGGGGGGTTGATTAGGAAGGGATTAATTGCTATGTTTGGAGAGCCGATATACCTCTTGTTTAAGGTTAAGTTTAGGGTTTATTTTGTTTTTATGCATAATTTGATTTGAAAGTTGCTATAGTTTTCTTTTTGTGAATGCTTTCTAACAGCGTCTAGGTGGTTTGGGAGAGCTGATATACCTCTTGAATTGTAGATCACGTGTATCTTGCTTTCTTATTGAAGTTATAATAAAAAATCAGCCACCTATATTCATATTTATGCAGTTTTTATTTTGTGTGTTTGCTGTTTTTGTTTCCAAGGCGGATCGGAATGTTGATGTTCATGTTGCACGGACATAATTAATCTAGAACCTATAGTTGTTTTGTTTTCTAAAATATAATGGTTTTTATCCTTTTTCTAGTTAAGTTTAATGAAATTTATCTTCTCAATAATACTTTTTAGTGCTTTGTGTTGCTGCAGAATATGTGCTGGTTGTAATACTGAAATTGGTCATGGACGCTTTCTCAGTTGTATGGGCGCTGTTTGGCATCCTGAGTGTTTTTGCTGTCATGCTTGCAATCAGCCTATATCTGATTATGAGGTAAGGAAATGCCTTTATAAGATTTGTACTGTTCATAGCGGCCAAGCCATGTCAAAAACTCACAGGCTATTTGGTGCAGTTCTCAATGTCTGGGAACTACCCATATCACAAATTTTGTTACAAGGAACACTATCACCCAAAATGTGACGTTTGCAAGCAATTTGTAAGTACGCTCCTTACTGGACCTTAATTGTGCTTTGATTTTTCATTGATATGTTGTCCCAAAAATCTCTAAGTGTCTCACCTCATGCAAGTTATACTCTTGATATGGCATTCTAGTATTATGATGTCACCATTAGTCCTGTTACAAAAACTTCTGCTTTGGGAATTGGCAAACTAAATTTTCTTATTGAATAATTTATGAAGACACGATAAGCATTCCTTTGCCACATCTAGAGCTCAATTATTCTTTTGTCTTTATTTAAATGCATTTTTATCTACAATCCATCGAGCCAGAAAAACTTGATTACAGTTCTGAAGGTTTGCATGTTCTACTAACCAGGTTTACAGCAAGTCATCATCATGTCTATCATTAACCCTATTCCAACTGTCTGTGGTTGATTTCCAAACCTCGCAAAGTATTATTTATGTTATAATCATCAAGATGGGGTTGATTTGTGATAAAATGATGGATCAGATATGACAATGTAACTTTGATGCAACTGCAATATTTTCATAGCATTAAACGCAATGCGATGCATAAGTGTTCTTTTTTGCTTCAATGTTTAAAGCGGAGAGGGGCTGTTGCGAAATATAGCGTTATATATATATATATATTATTTGCATAAACTAATCATTTAATCAATCAAACTTAAGCCATAATAATTAATAATTTTAGCAAATGTAATAATATGTTTAAGTAATAGTAATTTTTCGGTTATTTGAAAGCTTAAAAAAAATCAAAGATATAAATAATAAAGTGATGAAAGAATACTTAAAATTAAGAATACTTGTGAGATTGAACTAGCTAGATACAAAGAGTTAGAGGCTATGTGAAGCAAGAGAGTGTGAATATGAGACATTGAGAAGCATTCTTGGGAAGAAACTTATGAGCAATAAGTTGCTAATGCTAGTAACAAGAACCAGCTAGAAGTATATAGGAAAACTAAAGATTGAGCAAGTGTGAAGAGAAGAACCAACCAGAAGTAATAGCTCCTGAAGGATAGAATGAAGACCTAATAAGCAACGACTCAATAATTATTAGAAATAGTGAAAAGTGAACTTTTGTGCCTAATTATTGTGGCAGATGCTAAACCGTACCATGAAATTTGAACCTGGATTTAGATATGATATGGAGCCAAGTTCACCATGCTATAATGTGACATGGTGAAGCCGCGCAATGCGCAAACTGTATTGCGAGTTTATACTTCATAGACAAGCAATGCACATTGCCAGTATATCGCTTCACTTTAGTACTAGAGGGGGCTTTGAAGCACGTTGGAAATAAAATGTTATATGCATTCCATTATGTTAGTAGACCGGAGAATCTGGTAATATTTCAGTTTCCTGTGGCACCAGCATCATCTTCATTAATCTTATCCCTAGTTACTTGAGGTTAGATTTATGAATCCAAATTGTTTTGATCAGTTCTCAGTTTTGAAGAGAAAAGTTGAGAGTTAATGCTAGGTTGTTAGTCATGTAAACACGTGCAAAATCAATCTGTAACTTAGAAACATAATCTAAAGTTTTGTGATCTCTCCGTTTGTTTGCATGACATCGGACAGTACTAAGGCTCTAAAACCATTTTTCTGCACAATCGTGTTAGTGATAAGTTCTATTTGCATTTTGCCTGTCATATTTTAGAGAACAAACAGGGAAAATCTTATCTGCATATCTTTCTGTTTCATTTCTTGTGTGGATGACTTTATTCAAGTATTAGGAAATATGTGTAATTTTGTTTTATATTAGTTTCAGAAGTTTTGAGTATTAAAATGTCTTTAGTGAAACTAGTGCAACTTATAATTTAAACTTAACTAATCAATTTCAGTTTTACTTCATTTAAAGCATATATATATATATATATATATATATATATATACGGGCATGCCTAGTTGGTAGAACAAAAATGCTAGCGCAGGTTTAAGTATTAAAGCTGCAATGAAGTTAGTCCATCAATCATCATGTAAAGTACGTCATCATTCTTAGGATTTATTGAATTGTTTCACTAGAAGAGAAGGGATGCTAAATGGTGGAGTAGATTGTTGGCCGCAATACAAAATTTTAGCTGTATTATTATTATTATTTCAGGGGGGAATTTGAACTATTTGCCTCATACTTCTTTTCTTCTTATTATCTCTTTTGCAGATCCCAACAAACATAAATGGCCTCATCGAATATAGGGCACACCCTTTCTGGCTACAAAAGTATTGTCCCTCACATGAGATTGATGGTTCGCCTAGATGCTGCAGCTGCGAACTAGTTGAGGTTGGTTGCATTACACATGAAGGGATGCCTTTACACTTATCCATTAGTAAACGCGGAGTCCGCACAATTTTGATGCTGACAATTTGAACAATTGTGAATGCTACATTGAATCCCACATAAGACTGAAATTTACGTTATTTCATAAATTTAATTGTACTATCTCAAGAAAATCTAATTATTTATGTTTTCTATCTTCCATCAAAATCTTAGTTTACATGAGGACTCGATGTCATTTGTGATGACCTTTTGTTATTTCCTGTTACTGGATATCAGCCAAGAGACGCAAGATTTGTGACACTTGATGATGGGCGGAAGCTATGTCTTGAATGTTTGGATTCAGCTATAATGGACACTAGTGAATGCCAACCGCTTTACCTAGATATACAAGAATTTTACGAAGGCTTGAACATGAAAGTAGAGCAGCAGGTTCCTTTGCTTTTGGTAGAGAGACAAGCTTTAAATGAGGCCATGGAGGGGGAAAAGGGTGTAAGACTTCTTTTCAATTTATTAAAGTTCTCAGCTAAACTTATGCTATAACCTGTTTAATTTATTAAAAGAACTTATTAGTTTTTTTTTTTTTAAACTGGATAACAGGGACATCATCACCTTCCTGAAACTAGAGGTCTCTGTCTCTCCGAAGAGCAGACTGTTAGCAGTGTAAGATCACTTGGGTGCTTTCAAATGAAATACTGCCATGTATTTTGAAATGAGAATGCTTTATTCTGCGTCATTTTTCAACATTTATTAAATTTCGTGCTTTCAATTGACAATATTTACGTTGATCAGATACTTAGAAGACCTCGAATTGGGAGTGGTAACAGAGTAGTGGATATGAGGACAGAGCCATATAGATTGACACGACGATGTGAAGTCACAGCCATTCTAATCTTGTATGGGCTTCCAAGGTCTTGATAATTATGTTTAGCCTTATCCCCTTTGGTTTCGCTATGCTTTCATGTACGCTTACCAATGCACTTATACCTCATTTATTTTCTTCGAGTTGGTTTAGTATTTTTTCATTACAATTTTCCATGTAAAAATGATATTTTCTTTCCTCACATATGCATATCCATTTGCCTATAAGAACATATGCGCATTGAGGAGCAACTTTTAAGTGTTTAGGTTTCAAGAGAAGGAAAAAGGCAAATTTAGGTCCATGCTGTTAAGACTTAGAGTAATTCCATGATCATTGTCATCTTTAATTTTATCTTCAATACAATGAATTTTGTTTTTTTTTTTATGCTTAATTTCCCCCACGTAGTGGGATAAAGGCTTGATGTTGTTGTTGTTGTTGTATTTATGCTTAATTTCCAGGTTACTTACTGGGTCAATTCTAGCACATGAGATGATGCATGCTTGGCTACGACTTAAAGGTACATTATAAGTTTTCATATCATTGTTTCTTCATTTAGTTATTGCTTGATTCTTATTTTGTTGAAAGTCAGGAACTATTATAGTGCAGAGCATCTTACAGTAGACTACCCTATCATCACTAGCCTTATCCCAGTCATATAGGGTTCAACTTTATGAATCCTTAGCTCCATTAATTTTTATTGAGTGTTGTATGAAGTGTTAAACTGAATGTGCAAATTACTTTACACAACTTTTATCTATTCAAAAAATCAGACTCCATTGTATTTGGTCTATTTACTTGTTCATCTTTAGGACTTTGCTCTCATGCAAAGGGATTAAATTTAGATTAATCTCTTAATCAACCTTCTATCCAATCCCCTATATGGAGCCAAATTTTAAGTCATTATGATACTAATGAGTTGGATCGACAATTCGTAGTTGCTTAATCATATATCACGAGCTTTATATCATGTATCAATAGAAAAAATGGTAAATAGTCATAACATTTCAGAATAAAAAAGTATATTATAATAAACATGCATAATAATAATCTTGTTGTGTACGCCTCCCAATGAAATAGTTGTTTTATTTTGGTTTCTTTGTTTTGACCTTGTTGATAAAAGTTTATAGGGTTCACTCTTTATTCACATGTGGAGTAGAGATCGATAAGTATCAACAATAAATATTTTTCTTGGTGTGGTGGGGTAGGTTCTCTTTACATTATTTTGTTGTTATTTTAGAAATATATTGGGTTATTAATAACTGTAATTCATTTTTGTTATGATATAGGTTCCTCAATGACTCAGAGTCTTTATAAACATAGTGATGGTTTCGCCCTTTTATGTTTGCTTCATTTTTATATTGTATACCTTTTAAAGGAATTTGAAGGCTCATACACACTTTTCTTGACATGGTGGGGGGTTATATTTTAGCTTATATGCTCACACCAATATATAATTTCTTGGTATGATGGGAAACTTATTTTAAAGGTTGCCTAGTGCGCCATACCATGCATGCATTTGTTAACATGATGGAATGCCCCAATAGTTCATTTTCCTACTCCTACGTGCTATTGAAATTTCATACAAAATTTTACATATAGAAAAGGTTGCCAACTCATATCATGATGGCATTGGGTGAAAACTCACCCACAACTATCAAGAAAAACAACTTAAGGCCCTTTCATTCTGGTCATAAGCATGCCCAAGGAGTATAAACCTTCAAATTTTTATCTTCATAGTCAAACATAAGCATGAAGTTGAAAATAAAATTGATGATGCCTTATCTAAGTTAGTAGTAATTCTTAGAATTTTGAATCCCTGGTTTTGATAGAGTAAAAGGTTGATTATCCTTCTTGCCCCAAGTTTCACATCTTATATGATGAATTAAAGGGCAAGTCATTTTGATGAGGTGTGGATTGAGTCACTGTTGTCTATATATTGGCAGAGGATGAAATTTGAAGACATCATATTTTTTTGGACATTTAGGCCAATTAAGACAAACTCACACATACAACGCATATACAAGACTCGAATCCAAAACCTCTTAGTTGGTAGCCTAAGCTTCCAACCAACAAATCAAGGGAGTTGTGTTAATTTTAAATTTGAAGACATACCATCATACTGCTTTTGCCATACATTAGGTCATAAATTATCAAACTATTTCAAGGCTCACCAATGAAAGTATTTTTAAATATTAGGTGCGTGACATTCCACCAGAAGTTCAACCTCCTACCTAGTTGGTGGAAGATCCTTAGAAATTTTGGTTTGTTCTCAAAACATGGAATCAAGTTCAGACTCTCATCTAGAGATAGTGATTGATGTTCTTTCCTTTACTAGCTCCTTATTGTTGGTTGCTTCATCATTTGTTGATTTATCAGTTAAAACAATCCTTAGCTCTTTCATCAAATTAGACCATTCGCTGTGTCAATTCTCAGTTGGATAAGAGATTTAATATTCTTTATACCAGAAGACGTAAGAATCAGAAGAAAATCTATTAATAGTCACATATATTCTCCATGCTTCAAGCTAGATGATTCAAATTGATAATTTTGTGATTTTCATGATCCATAGGATGCTTCATCCTTGATCTTATTGTTATTTATTTCTTATGGTGTTTTATTTTTCCTTTTTTTCTCTAGCAATTTTTTGTAATTGACCTTGTTTTATTCATATCATTATCTAGTTAATATATTTTGCTTTAAAAAGGAGCAATTCATTCAATTTGTTTATACGGGGATTCTCGTCAAAGATTTGCCACTTCCTATCCTATCACTCGATCTCGTCTCTGGGATTTGTGGATGCATTTGATATTTGTGATTCAAAATTACGAAATGAAACATGTACTTGAAATTGATCTTATCATTTGCTCACATATTGTGATAGATATTGCTAATTTTTCAAGCCATACGATTCAGAGAAGGAAAATATTTTGTTTCCCATCTTATTACCCAAAAGAAGTCTTTGGGATGGATGGCATGTGACACGTGCCAAGGCATTTGGCATGTTCATTCCAGATGTCATCCATCTAATGACCTTGAAAACCTTTTATTTGATAGTTTTTGCGTGTCATAGCAGTACTGGATTGGTTATATGGCGTCCTTTGGGGTTTGTGTAATTGTTGCAGCTAGCAGCACACAAAATATAGTAAAATCTTATAAAATGATTCCATCAATGGTAACTTCTCTGATCACCCTGTGGAATAGAAATTAGCTGATTAATTGCAGCCTAATCATGCAGGGTACCGTGGACTGAGTCCAGAAGTGGAAGAAGGAATCTGCCAGGTGCTGGCGCATATGTGGTTAGATTCAGAGATCATGTCAGGTTCTGGCAGTTTTGGTGCGTCCACCTCATCAGCCTCTTCGTCTTCAGCAACAACAAAGAAGGGTAGGAGATCACAATCTGAAAGGAAGCTTGGGGACTTCTTCAAGCACCAGATAGAATCAGATACCTCATTGGCATATGGAGATGGTTTCAGGGCTGGCAATCGGGCAGTTCTTCAGTACGGCTTGAGATGTACTCTTGAACACGTCAAATATACTGGGAGTTTTCCTATCTAAATGATTGCTTTCTTCATTTTCATTATTTATTTCCTTCTTGCTCTTGCATTGTCTTTAAAGAGAATACCAATATGATTTGTAATTATCATTGAAGACAAAGAAAATTGAGAGAAAATCAAAGGATATAGGCCTAGAGAGTTCTCATGCGGGGAAGGCATTTGAACAGTTTCTTTGGAATTTTTGTTATATATTAATTGTGAACAATTTAGACTGTGATCTTTTCTTATGCTCTCAAGAGAATTATTCTGACTCTTTCATGAAAATTAAGAGGTCAAATATCATACAGGTTGAGGCAAAGTTTGTTGTCCAGATCTTCTTTTTTTATTTCTCATGCCAGCAGTGTATAATCAATGCATTTAATCACATCGTCTTTATTCTCTTCTCTTAGGCTATTGATTACGGCGTCTTATCTTAGTAGATTATGAAGGAATTTGAACATGGTCGATAATATAATGATGCTGATCACCAAAAGCAAACGTACGTTAGCGATTGGTTCGCTGAGATCAGCATTCAACTCCAGTTCCAGTTTCCTAACCCTAACATATGAGTTCGGCTTCGCCACTCCTCAACCTCTCGTCTTACAAAGCCTGGTACTTTGCCTGACCAAGAAGGGACAAATATTTCTAGTCTAGTACAAAATGCAACAATCGCTCGGTGATTAAACCATACTTGGCCCTTATCATTGGACTTCCTCCAGGAACACGTTTCTTTCAAGTTCAAAGCCCTCAACTTGAGATGTACAGGAAAACGTTTCTATAATGCATTTAATCATATATAAAATTAATATTTTTTATTCTAAAATTCAATTGATTGAAAATAAAATCAAATATAAAATATACATTTTGTCCAATTATTTATTTCTCATGCTTTGACTATAAGTTTTTACTTGGTATATGTTAGTAGTTACTGAAGGATTGAGTGCTAGCTTGGAAGCTTATAAATAGCCCCTCACTTCATTCCTATAAGGTTAATAGTTCCTCGTTCTTCTTGATATGTTACAAAAAGTCAGCTTGATTGAGCACAAATCTTGATGCAAATCTAATTCGGAAGTGTCTAAATTAAATTTGAGACAATTCAAACTCTAATTTTAATAAACTAATAGTCAAATTGAACATCTCAAGATGTACCCAATGGCACTGAATTCAATTCAATTTGAGCCCAAATGATTTCAAATCAAAGTATAAAAATATTCTTGAAAGCTTCATAATGTCAATTGGAAGGACAAATGATATCCAAATATGATATTCAATATGACATGAATATAGTCGAATTGAGTGGCTCGACAAGACGAATCCAAAGATCCCATGATCACTTAATTATGATATCATTAAGATACTTAAATGCTTGATAATTGATTCATGATCAAGTGAATCAAAATGGGTTGTCCAATAGAACACTCCAAAATTGTTCTGTATTTTCTCCATATTTACTAAGAATGTTACTCCTAAAAATTATAAATAGACCATCATTCACATGAAAAAAGGGAGGAGAAAGAAAAGAAAAGCTAAGGGCTTGAAGAATCCAGGAGCTCCACCCTGACGCCACCATCGACGAATTTGTGCCACTAAGTCGCCATTCTTGAACCTCTGGTTGACCATCATATGGAAGCCACTAACAAGCTTTTTTCCCACCGTTGTCGCTCATTGACTACGGTTCTTCCAACCATTGTCGATAGTCGACTACAGATTCTCCGATTTCCATCGCCTACCAACCACATATCTCACCATAACACCGTCAATCTCAACACTATTTTTTCCGCACCTCACCTCATGTCGGAGCAAGCTCAACGAATCTTTTCAATTTCTTTCGCCCAAATACAGTCCTACCGACTAAACGAATAGGAACATTCTCTAGAGAATAGCTGTCATGTTATTCTTCAACTATGTAATGTGTTCTATACAATATGTATTTTCTACATTAAGCCAACACCCTTCTCTGAGGTAGGGGATTATTTATATTCAACCATCAGCACTAGAGGAATCATTTCAACTAGGCATGGCTCCATGACTTTCCCCCTTTTTTGGGATTTTTCACATAAATTTTTTGTCTCTTATTTATGATGCACCCTCAAACTAGATCTTCATACAAAGCTAGGACATTAAACTTTATAATTCTTTACTGCCATGAATATTCTAAGAAGCAACAGTAAGAATCAAATCTTGGCTGGAAGGCAACCTTTTCTATAATCTCAAAAGATCATTCACATCAACATCCTAGGCTTAGGTGAAGCAATTAGGTAGTCTCTTTATCATGCCTTATTATCAGGTCAAAAAGAAGTCCTTCAATATTGAGGCCAACTTCATCACAACAACAAGCATACATTGTTTTATCACCTCTCAACCATTATTCAATGCTGCATCAATTTTATAGGAAACAAATTTGGACTAGGGGGCAACCTTGGTTATAACCTCAAATATGGTTGTCCCTCTAATATTTTACTTGTCCAAACTAATATTGATATTAATCATCTATCATTAAGTTTCCCACGAATATAAAAAAAGGCTTCAACTGAATTCTAACTATCTAAAGTCCCCAGTTGGACTTCTACTCCTCGGGCAATGTTATTTTCCCGACCTCAAAAAGACAATAACTGTCTAAAGACAGATCAATCTTCACATTTGATTCAAGATACATGCGACATTAACTCCTCCCAATCAAGGTATAATTGATACATAGGAGATTTAATTTGGCCTATTCAATATAGGTTAGCATTATTGAGTAATGTTTTGACAAATAACCTTGGATAGGTCAAATATCCTTGATGGATTCTCTCGGGCTCTTTCACACATGTTAATATCATCGAGCAATCCTCTAACAAATAATCTCGAATGGGTCAAACATCCCTTATGAAATTTTCAAACAATTTCAAAGCAAGCTAACGTCATCGAAGGGGAGATAGTAGTGGATAAGGTCATCACTATAAAGGCCCCATGAGGGCAAATGGTAGATTAGATCTCCACTCATAACCCAGGGAAGGTATGCCTATGATGTAGCCTCAAAGGAAAATTAGTAGTGGACAAGATCTTCTCTAGAAAGACTCAATGAGAGCAGGAAGATTATAGGGTCACCACTCATTCAATGGTCTTAGAAGGATGAATGTTTTAAAAAGAACATGCACATCAATTACCTTAGAAGGCCAAAAGCCTCCAAAGGTATTTGTACATAAAAATTCTCAGAAGGCTAAACGTCTTAGAATATATATATACTTCTTGGATTCTCTAAAAACTTCATAAGGCTAAAAGCTGTATAAGGAATATATTCTTCTAATCTAGATGCTCTGACTAGGGGGAAATAAATCAAAGCATATCTAAAAAATGCATAAGGTCTTTAGTTCCTTATGGGAGGCAAGTTCATAAACCAAAGTTACTCTTATATAAAAATATGTATTCATTACTTCAAATAAATATCAATCTTTTACAATCCATAAGAAAGAGCGATGATAAAAATATTTCATAAGAAAATTTATTATAGAATCTCAACATCTCCATTATCACTTGAAAATATTTTTCTCAACTAGATCTCAATTCCATCATTGCCTGAATCTGAAGGAGAATCCTCAGATGCTTGACTAAGAGTCAGCCCTTCAACTATAACCTCAGTGTTACGTTGTACCAGCCGGTCTCCTTTTAAGAAGCCACAAGCAAAGTTTTCAACAAGAATTTGGTGCATCAAATAGTTTATCACGAGCCACTTAGATGTGATAATGGATTTCTTGATGATAAGAAGAAAACTTCTTGAAATATTCTATAGCCTTCAATGATATGATTACTGTCCTGAAAGGCACTCTTTTCTCTTGTAAGTATCTTCAAAAGTTTTGTGTGATTTATGTCTGTACGAGCCTTAATTAGCTAATGGAAAAAGAGATAAGACTTCTATCATAGCGAAGGAGCATGCACATCCCCTATCGAACATTTTTTGAGTAATAATAAGATTATCAAAGAACTTTGCAATCCACTGCCAGATTATAGACCTCCATTAAATTTGTACCACTAGTGTGTCGCTGGCTTATTATAGTTAGTACAGTGTTCCCCTCCATCAAGTTGTCTATTATCTACCCCGTCGCATGCTTACCTACTATCTCCAATAATATGTAGCTCAAACATTGCCATCAACTGATCACTACCCAATTTCCAATATCAGAATGTCACCTAACAACCTCTATTATACTTTCATCATTTGACTACCACCATAGGCATATTGCCTAACTCCTTACATCAATAGATCAACATATGATTGTCAGAGCTCTCCCGATTATACACCATAATCGGACTCCCCCCTGTCCGTGAACTACAATTAGATCTCTTTAGATTATCATTTTGTATAGGAGATGGTTGATCTTCTTTGTCATGAGTAGTCTGAGGGGTGAATGATCACTCATCGGGACTTCCTCTACACAAAGGATGATATATCTTCTCCTATAGTTTCAATCCATTATATATGCCCTATTTCAAACTTTAAAGCTTCTTCTACTTAGGGTTTTTAGTTGTTCTCATGGAGAAGATGAAAGCATAGTTGTTCATCTCTATGGTTTTGGTTAATGTATGTGATTTCGTTCTAAATCACATAAAATTGCAATATGCGATAAATTTTTTTTACAATGCGATTAAGATCATACTGTACGATCTTCTATTCGTATAGTACAACCACTAGTACGATCTGGATTTTCCAGTATAATCTGAGTTGGTACAATATGATCATAATAAACTTTAAAAAAATGCCAAAAATCCATTTATTATCTAAATTTGATGTTCTTGGACTCGTTTGAACTGTCTCAAGCCCAAGTTTATTTTAAAATTAATTTCATGAGATTTGGACCATTGGATTGTGAGAAATGCAATTTGTATTAAAAAATGAACTTTCTCAATTACTCTCAATCCAGGGATCCGATTGAGCTCAAATTGAACAAGATATACTTGGGATGTTCCTCACATGCCACAATCTTCTTGGCCCTTGATGATGGCTAGATTTTAACAAATTGAATTTTCAATGTTTTGTTTCATATTTTGACCCAAAACTTTGGAAATTCATTTATCTTAAAATACAAAGAATTAGGTTTTGAAATTTTTGTGGATTGTGTATTCTAGTGTAAGGGTTAGGCACATCATATTTCAAATGTATATGACTAGAAGAGATACTTAAGAAAAATAATTAAAGAAAATGTCTAGACAACTTACAAAAATTCTTTGAAATTTCCCTTGCATCCAATATAGATAGAACTTGAAGAAAACACACTTAGTGATATTTTGAACCCTTGGAATTAATT